AGATGACAGATGCAGAACCAAAACCTGGCACGAACACTAGAAGAAATGGCATCCTAGTACATACAATAATATGGAGATATTGATGATCAAGTGACACTGAATCTAGTCATCCTGTTGCCTGAATTACGGCCTAGTACAGTGAGTTAGAGCGTTGGGCTATGATAGATTAGAATAATCTGAGTCGTGATAATCCCCACTTCTTTCTTCCTTGCAGGTGCCTCCACATGACCACATTAGCAAATTCCCTTTGATTCTGAGATCCTTCCTCCACTTCCATCTCTAGGTTTTCACTGCTTTGTGAATTCCTGACTGAGAGGCCTGCCCTTCCCCATTCATTTACAAATGGCGTCAGGGATGGAATCTTTCTCACCACCACTCTGACCTGAGCCACTGGAAGGAGGGGCAGCTGAGGCCTGAGGAGAACAGTGGCATGAATGGGGGAGGAAAAGTAATTATTCTTGTTCCTTCCCCAAAACTGTTTTCTCTCACCCACCTCTCCCAGACAGAGGAGGACAAGAAGAACCTGCTGCGGCTGCAGGACCTGGTGGACAAGCTGCAGCTGAAGGTCAAGGCCTACAAGCGCCAAGCTGAGGAGGCGGTGAGTTTGTGATTTTCCACCCCGTCATTAACACTCCTACTCTACATGAGCTGACGAGTATCTGCCACAGCAGGACCTGGACAAAGGTCTGTTCTAATCTTTACCCCCTAAAAGCATTTGTTTTACATGTCCAGTATGTTCAGAGGTGTATCAGACAGTCTGAGTTCACAAGAGCAATGCTGCATCTGCCCCTGCACCTGCCTGCCTTAGTTTATAGTTTATGCACCTTAAGTCTAAATGAAGGTAATAGAGATGCTAATGTGAGACAGGGGCAGAAGGTGCCCAGAGCAGGAAAGTACTGTATAGCTGGAATCGGGCCAGGAAGGGGCCTGACGGTGCAGGGCAGTGGGGAAGGTATCCCGGAAGGCAGGAAATTGGGGAAGTGAGGTGAGATGAGCACCCGTGTGCAAGAAACTGCGGCTCGGCAAGGATCTATCTGAGCCACATTTGGAACAGATACAGCAAATCAGATTTGGGGGAGGGGGTCATGCAGACAGCATGTGATTTGTCCTGGGCTGTGAGCAGCCCTGAAGGGTTCCTTCCGAGTGCTGGACAGGTCTGAGGAAGATGCCAAGCCAGGGGCAGGAAGCTTGAGAAGGAACAGGAACATGGGTGAGGAGTGGTGGTTAGGAGCCAAGTGGGTGGCTTGGGCGGAGAGACTGGGAGCATCCACATGGCCCCCTCTCACCTCAGGCTCCCTCTGCCCACAGGAGGAGCAGGCCAACACCAACCTGTCCAAGTTCCGAAAGGTGCAGCACGAGCTGGATGAGGCAGAGGAGCGGGCAGACATTGCCGAGTCCCAGGTCAACAAGCTTCGGGCCAAGAGCCGTGACATTGGCACCAAGGTGGGCCCCTCCCCTGGGCTTCAGTAGCCACCCCATGTCAGCATGCCCTCCGACGTGTGTCCCTCAGAGTAGCTACTGCTCACACTGTATGTGGACAGCCCTGAGTGTCCCACAGTGCTCATAACCTGGGAATCTGCCCTCCTGCTTGTAGCAGCCCCCCTCAGACTGGAACCTCCTCAGAAAGGCCACCCCAACCCCTAAGCTATAGGCCCCCCTAACATGGGACCCCAAGATCCCTGAAGCTAACCTCTCCCTTTCTAAGGGTCTCTCCTAAGCTTAGGCCCTTACAAGGCCTGGGGATCCTGCTTGCTAGCTCTCATACCTCTTATTCTTCTCCCAGCAAAAAATGCACGATGAAGAGTGACAGTGTCTGCGGAACCTTGTTGGGGAAAACCCACAATAAACATAAGCACCTGGCCCTGCCTGTGTCCTTTGTCCTTTCTGCCTGACCTTCATCCTACAGCAGGAGGGTTGGCCCAGCAGGAGGGTGGCTCCAGGCCCTGTATCAAAGCTGTGGGAGCCAAAGCAGCCCACATCTACAGCAGAGGAAACCAAGCCTAGAGGACGTGTCCTGCCTGGCATCACAAGTCCCAGCTCTATTCAGTCATCCACACAGAGCAAGGAAAGGAGATGTTTCAAAAGAGGAGGAAAAAAACAAATTAAATAAATAAACAAAAACAAAAAAAACCAAGTAAGGGCTGGGGAGATGACTCAGTGGAATAAGTGCTTCCCTGGCAAGTGCAAGGGCCTGAGTTCAATCCCCGCTTCCGCAAAAAAAAATAAAAAAAAAGAGGAGGAAAGGTCAGGGAGATATCTCAGTGGTCTCAGCACCTGCCCGACAAGTGCAAGGACCCAAGTTTGTTGCTTGGTATCACATGTTGTGATGGCCCTGGAGCCCAGAGACACTGTGCTGGCCACTGAAACTGGGCGTGCTCACACACACCTCTAATTCCGTCACTGGGGAGGCTGAGACAGAAGGATCACTCTAAGTCTGAGGGGCATAGCAAGACTCTGCCAAATCAATCAATCAATCAAAAAAAAAAAAATTGGAGGAAAATGGGCTGGGGATACAGATCAGTGGTACAATGCCTGCTTGGCAAGTGTGAGGTAGTGAGTTCAATTGCTGGTACAAAAAAAAAAAAAAAGAGTAAAATAAAGGCAGCAACAGGGTGAGCCAATTACAGACATTAGGAGTCAGAATTTTGGTGCCGGAGCTGAAACTACCCTTCATCTTCCATACTTCTGAGGTCATAGGAGTTAAAATTGTCCTAGAACATTGTCCTTTCCAAAATGATCTTCCCCCACCCCCCAGTGCCAGGAGAGATTCAGCGCTAGTGGGCACGGAGGTGCAGAGAAATGATGTGGGGAAGGTCCCATCTAGTCAGCCCCTTGGAAGTAACCCACAGGTCATCCCAGGACCTGACCCCAGCTCTGCAGGTCAGCACCTTGCACAATGGCATTCCCAGCACTCTGGGACCAGCTGGTGCTCAACCCAGACGTTTATGCAGTGTGGCTCAAAACTGTTGTCTCTGGTCACCGCTGAGGAATGGCCACATAGCTGCTCAGGACACTGAGCTGATCCTGCTCACCTGCTCCAAGCAGACCCTTGCTTCCACTGGGCTTTTGGCAAGGCTCTGCAGATCACCTCCTCATCCCTGCACCTGACATCCCTCTCTCCAGCTCCCTGAGTGGACCTCCACTGTCCCTCCTCTGAGGTAGTGTCCATCCTCTTCTACCCTCCAAGTCAGTCACCTTGTGTTAAGAATACACTATGCGGGGCTGGTGACATGGCTCAGTGGTCTAAAGCACCTACTTAGAACAAGCTTAGCAAAGCACAGGGACCGCGGTTCAATCCCCCAGCACCACATGCCAGCCAGCCCCGCCCCCTGGTGGGCTGAGCTGGCCACACACACACACACACACACACACACACACACACATAAATAAAATTAAAAAAAAAAAAAAGAATGCACTATGCATCAAGCCTGGGAACCATGAGCAGAGTTGAGAGAAGCATGAAATACAGTTGGTTCTGGCCCTGGCAAGCCTGCCAGGAGAAGCTGCCTGGTCAGATGAGAAGCCAGGACACAAGGACGTGAGAACAGGAAACAGGAGGCAGGAAAAGTCCAAGAGAGGAGCGGTCACCACCAAAGGATCAGACCTCCACCAGAGTTCAAGATCCAGGGTCTGGGCGAGGATAGGGGTCAGGGTCCTGCGACTGGAAGGAGTACCCCAGAGGAAGGAGGATGGCACTTTAGGGCAGCAACAGCCTGGGAGCGGGAACAGCAAGTCAGCGTGCATGGAGCCACTGAGCTGGGCCATGCTGAACTCCCTGGGATGGGCAAGAAGTCCTGGCTGCTCCGGGCTGTCATGGACCAGGCAGGGCTGATTCCCAAGTTTGGCAACGGCTGCTTCAAATGTCCTCAGAGCCAAGCTTTCCCCCAGCTTTTACCATGTGGAGCCCTTTCCTAGCCAGTCTCTCTCCCAAGGGCAGGCCTGACAGTCACCTCTGAATCCCTAGGGTGAGTACAAGATCTGCGCATAACAGATGCTCAGGAAACATGTGCGGAGCCACTTCAGGCTGGGGATGTGGCCGCTGTATTTTGAGCCACAAGGGACTTAGTACAATATCAAAATCAGCTGTTTAGCTAACAGGAGAGCTGGGTTGTACCTCTAGCTGTTTCAGGAATAGGGAAGACACTTCCCCTAACTGGACCTCAGTTTTGTCTTCTGTAGTATGAAGACATTGAACCAACTGATTTCTAAGGGCCTTCATAGCATCAGCATTTTGGGAATTTCTCCCTTGGATGCGACTGTCCGGTCCCGAGCCACACCCAGCCAACTCCTCCCTACACCACCAGGAGGAGCTCTACACTTGCCCCAGACAACACCCCGGCTTGTGCCCACTAAGGTCTGGGATGCGGGGGAGACCATCCACATCAGAAAGGGTGTGGAGCTCCAGGTGCCAGGCACATCACGCAGTGAAGTTGCATCCACTATTTTGTGAACTTCCTCCTCAGATGCCTCAGGCTTCAGTGTACAAATTCAGACTTGGAGGGTGTCTTCAGGTCCTCAGGCCAGCCACCAACTTACTGCCCAGACCTGGCCCCAGAGGGGCCCATGACCTACTCCAGGCAACATTTCCCTCGGTGCTCCTTACTTCTCTGCTCTGCCTAATGTCTGGGGGAGAAGAAGACCCACCAGTAGCATTTGACTCTTTTAATTTGGGAATGACTTGGGGTCCAGCTTCCTTCCCTCCTCCCTTCTTCCCTCCTCTGGTCAGAACTTCATCAGGGGCCAGACCCCAAAGCAGCAGGATCCACAGCTGATCCTCAGTGACGTTGGGGGGCGGGACCGTTGGCAGGGTGGTCCATGAAGACAAGGAACTGTGTCTAGGCTTAGCGGTCCCCTGTGTCTGACTGGGCCTGGAAGTCAAGTAGCCTCAGAGTCACTGCTGGTCCCCTGTGAAGATAGAGTCAGGCAGGGAAGCTGTGTTATGCCACAGTAAGTGGCGTAGAGTTGGGCATCGTCTCTCAGTGTGCAGACACTCACCCTGGGTGGCCCTGGGTGCCATTTCATTCTGATATATCTTGAAGGCATCATAGATAAAGACAGAAACCAGGATGATGCCAAACACCTGTGGGAGGAGAGCAGGGATAGCACAGAGGAGGATTCAGGGCCACTGGGTTAAGGGAGCAAGGGTGGCAGGCAATATGGGAGGAGGTGCAAGCCCAACCCCAGGCACTGGTTTTGGCTTTGTTTGCTGGTCTTTGCACTACCGAAGGTTGAGTCTGGAGCCCTGCCTATGCTAGTCAAGCACTCAACCCTGAGCTACATCCCCAGCCCACAGCTTTGGCTTTGGTTGCAGGAAGGGTGCCAGCACTGGCCAGCGGTCCTGAGGGGCTGGACTCACAAAAGCAGCAATGGCAGCTCCCTCCCGGGAGGTCACAGCAGCAAAGGAGACCACCAGGAAGATGATGGTGGCGCTAACACAGCGGAGGAAGTCCTGGGGAGCAGAAGGATGATGTCAGAAGGCAGGGGCATTATTCTGAGGTTTTCAGGCTAACTGGGGACTTGGCTTTCAGAGACTCTGAATCCCTACACGAGGATGTCCTTAGACACATATGAAGCACTTTCAAGAAAAGGACCTCAACAAGCTGCCCAAGGAATGGGGGCAAGTGAACCCAGAGTGCCAGGGGCTGGGGTGGGACTAGGGGTCTGGCCCTGATGGGTAGCTGGAGCATGCCAACTGGCAGGGCTCAGTTGGTCAGAGCTGGGGGCTGGGGAATGGGAGAGAAGAACTGAAGATGGATGGGTATTCTCCTCATGTACAGGGACCCTGCAACTATGAAACCAGTGTGGGCCAAAGTATGGTTCTGAGTACAGGGCACAGTCCACTGGGGCATTGATATGGAGGGAAGCTGGGAGGAAAGGAAAACTCAGCAAGGGAGGGAAAGCAAGGGGCTGGGACAGAGCAAGGGAGGCAGAGTTCCTCACCAGGCAAGGCCAGTTAAGCCGATCGAAGCGCTGGTAGTACTGGGTGGCATAGAGGAAGAGAAAGGCGAGTGTAATGAAGAACTCCAACAGTGCCGCAGCCATATAGGCAGAAATGGAGGCCGTGAAGCAGATGAAAATGATGAAGGTCAGGGCCTGCAGGACAAATACACGGGAAGCTGGCCAAGAAGTGGACACTCCCACGGGGCAAGGCATGCCCTATGCCAGCTGGCACCCAGTGCCTGGCTTTGGTGGATACTTGTACCCACCATCACCCATTACTATCCCCATCCCCGCTAGCCCAGGGATTCCCATGACCCCAGCGGTCTAGCCACTCTGCACATGGCACTATCCATGTGCAGAGTGTCTGTCCTGAAAACAGACACCCATGGGCAGGGCACTGACCTATAACGGTCCACCAACACAGTCCCCCCGGAGCACAGAGCCTGCATGTTGTGCGTATGAGCCCTGGAGTTGTTCCCATGGCAGCCCTGTACCTCAGGAATCCCTGCCCCATAATGCTGTCCCCCTCCCCAGACACCTAGAACACCACTGACAAGAACCGGAGCTCTGACTCCATCCCAAGAGAAGAGGCTCAGAAGATAGGAGCTCTCCTGCCATGTAGGATGGCAGATAAACAGAGGCCTTCAATTTACGCTGTGGTCTTGCTAGGTAACCAGCAGAGAGGCTTTCCTGAAAACAGACACCCATGGGCAGCAGCCAGTGGATAAAGAACAGCTGAAGAAGTTGCCCTTTTTGATAGCTGGACTTCTCAATCAAGAAGTGGCTACTGTAGTGACATCTGCCCATGCCCATGTCTCACTCTCCCTCCATATCTCAGAATGCTATCCTCGAACTTCAGTCTATCCTGCTACAACTGAAACCTGCGGCAGACACCTCCAGATGGAGAGACAGCATAAAGGCCAAATGGGAGGCAAAGGCACCACTATGGGCAGAAGAATCCAGAAGGCTTGGGGATGGGGTTCTAAGCAGTGAGCCTGGGGGGCCAGCCCAGGGCTAAGCAAGGGAGCTGGGCAGGAGAGAGATGGAGGCAGCAGGGTGGGGAGGCAGCTGTTACCAGCTCTGTTTCCAGCAGGATGCCTTTGAGGGAAGAGAGGAAGGTCTTGTCCACAGCGAAGCCTTGAAGCCCTGCAGCTGTCCCCTCCTCGGGGGGCCGGTCCCGGCGATCCCAAGCACTGAACATCTCCGTGGGGCCCACAGGCCACAGCTCCCCACCGTGGCTACCCGCTTAGGAAGAACAACAGAAGGTCTGCAGAAGAGGAAAGCAGATAGGAGCAAGAAGACACTTCCAGAAACCTGAACATAAAGCAGGAAGGCCTCTCTGCCTTCACCCAGCTGCCCAGAATGCCTTTGCTATGGCCTGCACCAGTCCCTTGGAGAACAGGCAGAGGCGGGAGACATGGTTAACCCTCCCCTGACTTGAGTCCACCCCAGCTCTGAAAAAAAGGGGAGAAGGAAGGAAAAGAGGGGAAGTGGGGGGGGGCAGGATTTGGGAAGTAAGCCAAGAGGCAGGCGCAGGAATAGAAGCCCCTCCAAGACCCAAGCCTGAAGAAGTTGGTGTCCCCCTCTCATAACCTTAACCCTCTTCCTTGGCTGGTCCTTTCTCCCTTTTCCTTTTAGGGAGGGTGGGAGCTGGAGCCCGGCCCAGGCAGCAACCCCCAGGACCAAGCTGCTGCAGCCAGGACTAGAGGACAAAGGCAGATTGTCGGAGAAACAAGGGGGCGCTGTGTGCCTACTGCAGGGTCTCAATGGGCCTCTGTCTCTCCAGCATGATGGTGCTCAGGGGTGGACCAGAGAGCCAGAGAGGGAGATGGGAGGGTGCGAGAGGAACTTGGGAGGGTAGGGAGGACCGGCAAGGGGGCAGTAGGTGAGGGCTGGTGCAGAGACGAGAAAGGGGCTGGGCTGCAGCCCCCATTCCTGGCACCAGGGGTACCAAAGACACATTAGACTATTTTTAAACATGGATATTTATTTGGATAAATCTCCCCACGTTCAATAACATGTTTTTCCTCAGAATGATTCACATCAACGGACTAGTAAGTACACCAGGATGCAGGCAAGGTAGGTTCCTACTGAGTGTTTAATGAATGAAAATGAATGAATGAATGAATGAATGAATGAATGAATGAATGAATGAATGAAATGCAGAGCAAAGGGGAAAATACCAAGAAAGGGCATGTGTTGGGCAAGGGCAGCTGCAGATAGGAGGGAGAGAGAGACAGAAGTGTGGCTTCCAAAAATGGGCAGCGCTTTGAAGATCTTTCCTGAGAGGAAATGCCAGGACACCAGCTTCCAATAGCAGAAAGCGCAGCTGCTCTCTTCCGAAAGTGCTTTCAAAAGTGCAATTGTGTAGGTTCCGCTGCCTCAGGCCGCTGTCCCGTCTCAGGGTCCTGCTGCTCCAAATAGCACCTTGGGGGAACCAAAAGTCTAGGCACCCTGGCCCACGGTGGCAAGGTCACTGTTTACTCATCTCCAGTTGTGCCGATCAGTGAGCGGCCTCAGGCAGGCAGCAGGCACGACTAGGCCATCACACGGGGCCGCACACACACACAAGCCAAGGACACAGGGTAGAAACTGCGCTCCAGGCAGTAGCCTTTCTGGGCGCCATGCTGGCCATGGCATGGCCGCCGGTAGAAGACGGTCTGGTTGTGGTAGAGCAGCACTGAGTTGCCCAGGAGGTCCTTGTGGGAGCCTGTCTGTAGGCTGACGCAGTGTTGGCACAGGCAGCGGGCGTGGTACAGGTCCTGGGGAAGCCGGTTCAAGTCCCTGTCCAACCTGTAGGAGTGACACTCGTCAGGTCCTGGGGCAATAGGCCAAAAGCAGGAGGGCAGGCAGGGTGGAAATGCTAGGGGAAGGAAGAGATGCGGTAGGGGCCTGGCTCCTTATCTCATTTCTGGCATCCACCTTGAGCTAATCACCTCTTTTCTCTCTGGGATTTCTTTTCCCCAGTGGTAAGCAAGGTCAGGGAACAAAAAAATGGGTTTCTACCTGGGTCAGGGATCCTTAGGGAAGCAGAGGAAGGTGAGCACGCTCCTGCCTCAGCCTCCAGTAGATCACCTCTGCTTCTACCTGATATACATGCTGGGCTCTAGCACTAGGTTTCTCAGTATCATTATTTTAGGGTTTTTAAAATTCACTGTTATTGCAAAAGTAAAAACTACTCTGAAGGATAAAAGAATATAAGGTGAAAATTAACTGTGTGCCCCCACTAGTCCCACTGCCCAGAGGGCCACTGCCCATACATCCCTCCAGATCCTGTGCAAGCCCGTGTCGCGGTGCACGTCAGAGTGCATGGCGTCTTGGTGAGCTACCCTAAAAGGACTCATGGAAAGAAAAGGGAAAAAATTAAAAGAATAAAACTCACTGAAAAGTAGACACCCCTAAGGTTTGGACTCTAGCAGCCTAGTGGGAAATCCTCCAGATTGTGGGACTATTTCCCATATAATCCAAGACAAACTGGGGTTCAGCTATTGGAGCATTTCCCAAAAGGGGTTCCCTAATAAATGCCCCACATAAAAAAAACAGCTCGAAGGTCAAATGAGTTTGGAAGACACTGAGACTAATGTTTCTTTTTTATAAGACATATTGTAGATTTTAATGTAGAGATTAGTATGAGTTTCCATGGAACAGGGGCTGAAGCACTCTCTCCCAAATTTACTTGACATCATTTTTTTTTCAGAGGCACAGCTTGTGGAATGAGTGTTGCACAGAACACACTTCAGGGAAAGCAGCCTGAATGGTTGCCAGGGCTTTACAGCCTCCATACAGAGGGTCTGGACCACGCTGAATCAGCCATCAGGCCCCCCACCCTGCCCTAATGGTTCCCGCACCATCAGCTGTGGCCCAGCACTCATCCGGCCTTTTGACATAACTCCAAAGCATTCAGGCCAATGACTCCTCCACCTAAGATCTACTGTCAGTTAAAGCTGACCCCTTGCTACCCTCCTGGAACCTCTCCATCCATCACCAAAGCTATGAGTAATCAAAGCCAGACTTTTAGGGGATGGAGGACATAAGACCCTAGTGAAGATACAAGACAAAAAACTACATTTGGGACTCCTGAGGCCCTAAGTTTTAATATTTTGATTCTTTGCTCCTATTCCGATGCCTTGTAATATTTTTCACATCGTTTCACAAAGATAGACATAATATTTGTGTGGCACAGAAATCTGAGAATAAGGTAAGCACAGTTAGGATCAAAGATAACCAGCCACTCAGGTGCCCCAAAGAGTTGAGTTTTCCTATAAAACAGTATTTTTGTCACCAATCATAGCCTAGGGCAGTAGCATTTGGTACTGAGATGCTTTATGCCTATATCATTTCATTTTTCTCAGATATTTTAGTTAGAAAATCATGGGACATTGTAGGGAAAGAAAAAAAAGGAGAAAAAGGAAAGAGGAGGAGGAGGAGGAGATGAAGAAGGAGAATGAAAAGAAGTAGAGAACCACTATAACTATATATCTTGCATACATTATTTCACTTGATGTGGACTTCATATGAATTATAATCTCATTTTACAGGTGAAAACAAAACAAAACCCTAAGCTTTGAGAACTTAACTTGGGAGTTATTGGTCTAAGGTCCCCCAATGGGAGTCAGACTTGAGATTCAAATCATACCTAATTAACTCCCAAGCCTTTCTGACTTCTCTGTGATCAAAAGGGAAAAGCAAGGCTGGTGAGATGGCTCAGTGGTCTAAAGCACCTACTTAGAACAAACTTAGTAAAGCACAGGGATGGTGGTTCAATCCCCCAGCACCACATGCCAGCCAGCCCAGCCCCCTGGTGGGCTGAGCTGGCCACACACACACACACACAAATAAATTTTTTTTTTTTTTTTTGGCGGAACCGGGGATTGAATTCAGGCCCTTGCCCTTGCCAGGGAAGTGCTTATTCCACTGAGCCATCTCCCAGGCCCCTAAAAATTTTTTTAAAAAGGGGAAAGCAGGCTGTAACCGACTGGACCTCCTCCGGTCCCTCTCACACACCCTGATACCAGTACATACAGGGATGCACGTGCAGGCATTCGGGAAGAGGACTGCAAACTTACTCATATCTCCAGGGGGAGATAGCCCTCCTGTTGAGGGGCCCGTCTTCACTCGCCCTGCAGGATTCTGAGTCGTGGGTAAAGGTAGGAGGCTCTGGAGGAGACATGGGTACAGTAATCCACTTCAGCCACTCCTCAGGAGGATCCTGCCCTGGGCTGAGGCAGCAGCTGGGCCTGTGTCTACAGTCCCTCTGGAGGCTGTGGATTCCCACAATCACTGCCATGAATGCAGCCACCTGCTGGGAAGGTCAGAAACAAAACGGCACTTACCTGTCCTGGTCCTGCTCCCATCCGAAACTCCTCCAAGCTGCTCCATGACATCCCAAACCTGGCAGCCTGGTCTCCCCCCAGCCCCCACTGTGGGGCTGCTCCCTTTCCTCTCAGCAGGTCCCCCGCCAGCTGGCAGCATCCTTACCTGGTACATGCTGGAGTCGACTCACTCAGCCACAGGCACTGCCCAGACTGACAGACAAGCCTTCTGGAAGCAGCCTGAATGGAGCAGTTTAAGAGTCCTGGTTTTATTTGCAGCAAACCTGTTTTGTTTATTCAAATTTATTTCCAAGTGCATAGTGAGACCCTGTACAAAAAAAAAAAAAAAAAAAAAAAAAACCTGAAAGCATTTCCAAAAGCTGCTTCAAATGCTGTCCTCATGGAAGCTGTGATGACCATCATCACCAGGCTGGTAGCTGATTGGGCAAACGTTGTTCTTTGAACCTTTCCGGGCGTGAAGTGGAAGCAATAGCATTCTGCTGCTCTGTGTCTTTATGAACTGGCACTGTGGGGATTTCCTTGGTTGGTTTGCTACCCCAAATTAGGGAGTCCCTGAACCTCTCTTCTACGGGCTTCCTTTCCATGCTCTCTGCTACTCCCGCCCATCATGTGATCTCCACTCCTCTCCTTTTCCCCAGATGTCCCTGACTGCTCACCTTAGAGACCACTTCCCTTCCCCTCCATCTCCTTTGTGCCCCATGCTCTTTGCTCTTTGACCCCATCTCTTCTTTGATGACCCCTACTCCTTTGACTTCCATTGTCTGCTCCCTTGTTTCTCCCCTCGCCCTCTCCAGTCACTACCCCATCCTTATCCTAACACTTTCCATGGTCTCTTCCCTGGGATAGGAGCATAGTTCTCAACCAACAGGACTGCCAGGAAGGTCCTTACCCCTTAAATTTGTTGGCTAAAAGGGCAAGGCCTGGTGGGAGAAGATGTGGATCATTTTCTCCATTGCACAAATGAAAAGGTGAAACAAGGAAGAGGAAGAACACATAACCACCTTACCTAAGACCCTGCTGAAGGACTCATCTCCACTCACAGGGCCTTGGGGCAGAGTTCATGGCAGGAGCAGCTGCCCCTCGCCAGCCATAGGAAAGGTCCATTCAGCCTTACATTCTCAGCAACAGGGGGCAGGGTTGGCTGCTGGCAAAATTGTATGTCCCAGAAAGGCTGACCCCAGGGGACAGCCTGCTGGGGAGGACTGTGCAGAGAGGTCAGTGCTTACTTCCCTCCAGGCCTTTCCCTCATTCTAGCCCATGGATTGACAGCCCTGGAGCCTGACCTCAGCCCAACACTCATACACAGACATTGTCTCTAGGATGATGTCTCCTGATTTGCATGTGCTTTCCCTCAGAAAATACTCCTCTAGTAACCAAGGACTCAGGAAAATAAGCAAGAGAAACAGGAATAATACACCGTGGAGTCAGGGAGAATCCTTCAAATGTTTTGGACAAAACAGCCACAAAGGACAACAAGAGATAGAGGTTAAAGGAGATGAAGAGGAAAGAATTGTTTGTTGTCATGGGGTATTCTGGAAAATTAAGAGAAGCTGCTCCAGTGAAGGTTGGGGCCAGAACCATGGAAGAGGCCTTGGGAGAAACCACGGCAGCTGGGAGAATGAGCCAGTAAGCCAGGCATATCACTGTACTCACCTCGTGCTCACCTCGATCCAGCTGGTCCCAGCCATCTATTGTCCTTCCATCCACTGCTGACCCCATTTCTGTGCACTTACACACATGTGCCAGTCATGGCTCTATGCTCTCGACATCAATTACCTTATCTTATCCTAAAAATAAAACCGTGACAATGAAACTGTTACCCCCATGCTGGGGATAAGGAAATTAAGACTCAATGAAATTTAGTGGGTTTTTTTTGGTTTTGTTTTGTTTTTTTAGTACAGGGTCTACAGGGTCTCACTGCACAGATCGGATTCGTAGTGATTCTCCTGTTTTCAGCTTCCCAAGTGCTGGGATTACAGGTGTGTGCCACCACGCCCAGTCTCAATCACCTTCTCAGTGCACCCCAGGGGTGGGGCCAGGGGTGGCACATGGGGAATCAAACCTCGGTCCCTGTGTCTGCCTAAGCAGGCACTTTAGTCTGCTGACCTATCTGGCTGGACTTCCAGTGAAACCTTTACAAAGAGGAGCTGGTTTTCCATTCCAGCCCTGACCAACTCCAAAGCAAAGCTCCTGACATGGAGCTACCCCAACCCTTATCTGTGGCAAGTGAAAAGGAAATACCCCATAGAGGATGTTGGCTGGTGACAGATGGGCTTGGGTTAGGCAGATCTCATCTATACCTGCCCAAGGCACAGGGTATTCTTGCCCATTTAGGCAGGCAGTCCTGCTGGCTGGGAGGCAGTGCTCCAGCCTCTGGTCTGGTACATGGCCCCAACCCAAGATCAGGACCTAGAGGGTAGTGCCATTTCAGAAGAGCTGGATTCCTATGTATCTCCTCTAAAAAATCAGAAGCCCAGGGCAGAAGGAGACCTGGAACCTGGCCTTGGCCCAAGTCTTCTGATCTTGACCACCCATTGTCAGTAGAGCTGGAAGTGACCTCAGCTGCTTGTTTCACTTGCTAACACTGCAAAGAGAACATACATAGCCCTGGTTCTGCCCCATTGCCCTTAAGGAGTGGCCTTTGGGGAATCTCTCTGCCTCTGTAGGTAAACCCCAGACAGGCAGAGGGAGGGCCTCTCCAAGCACACAGTCTGCCCCAGTGTTGGCTTTTCCCACCCTATAACAAGCAGGGCTGAACCAAGAACCTATGCTCTGAACCACATGCCCCCACCGCACCCCATTAACTCAGTCTTTGTCCTTATCTCAGTAGCAACTTGGTAGCATGTCAGGGTAACTCCCTGACATGAGAAACATTTTCCAGAGGGTTTCCTCTTGGGGTGACAAGTTTTGGAAACCCTGAGTCACTTCAGCTTCCAGGGAATCCTCAGGGGTGTGAGGATAGGTAGGTGGCAATAGGGAGGATGACGGAGGTGGAAGCAAAGGAAAGTTCGCCCAACACAAAACTTCAAAGGTACCCTCCCAACATGTCCCCACTTGCCTGTGCCTCACCTGGCAGCCACAGAGGGCTTGTTGGGACTCCTATCCTTCTGCCCCCAGGAAAACTAGTAAGCAAAGTGCACAGCAGGAAAGGGCAAGGAATGGGTGATGAAATACACCTGCCACCGTTGGTTTGGAAAAGCTTGGGGTTTGCAACGTTGGCACTTTGTGATAAATAAATGCAGGGTTTTGTGTTGCGGCATGGGATGTGGTCTCTAGAAATATTTTCATCACTAATCTAAGGCCCCCATCCATGCCAGTTACTCTTTAGCTGTTTAGTTGTAGGGTGGTGTGGTGAAGGGTGTCTCAGGCTGAGCGTAGAATCTCCTTACTAGAAGGCAGCGCCCCAGTGTCATGCAAGGTTATTGCAGAGGAAATTCAGTAGATACTTGGGAGTTCTATGGCCTCTGCATTACTTCAAGAGCTGAGGTCCAGAGCAGGTAGCCTGTTGGTACATTTGAGGCCATCAAGGTAAACTCCCACACCCCTCAGGCTCCTACAGTGCACATATTATTCCAAACAAAGAGGCAAGGGGACAGAGATGCTGTTCCTTCCCCTTCTTAGAAAGATATACAAGTTTTCATCTACTGCCTTGAAGTTTTGGCCCAGTTATTGTCCTTGGGACCTCTCTCTGCTCCCAGGTGTCTACTGAATCTCACCTGCATTAACCTCGCATGACGCTGGGGAGCTGCCTTCTAGTAAAGAGATGCAACGCCCAGCCTGGGGCACCCTTCCCCACACCACCCTATGACTGAACAACCGAAGGGTGACTAGCATGGATGGAGGCCTGAGATCAGTAACGAAAGTATTTCTAGAGACCACATCCCAAACTACATCACAAAGCCCACTTATTTATCACAAAAGGGTCAATGTTGCAATTAAACCTGAACTGTGAGATTTTTCTTTTAAAACAAACAACTGGTGGGCCGGCCAAATAGCTCAGCGGATTAAAGCCCTGAAAACAGATACAGGAGCCAAGGTTCGATCCCTGGGTCTGCTTTGCTGGCCCTATCACCGGGGGCACTCTGAGATGGCAACTGAGACTGGGCATGGTGGCACACACCTGTAATCCCAGCTCTTGGGACGCTGTAAACAGGAGAATCACTATAAGTGTGATCTAGTGTTAAGATCCTGAACACCCTGTAGACCCTTCCCTAAAAAAATACAAAATAATAATAATAACAACAACAACAACAACAACAACAACAACAACTGTTACATGACACTGGCTGCTGCGGCGACTTGGCTCACATGCTGACAAAGGGCTCTGCATGGCTGCTGCAGCACCTGTGCCATAGGTTCACCATCGTTGCTCTAGACTATTATCCCTGTGTTCTGATTGGCAGGTGATAAAGATACTGGTTGTTAATTATTTTTAACATCTCTTTTAGCTACAATAATGCTTAGGCTGTGCCAGGAATGTAGCTCAGCAGCACAGAGCCTGCTTGGAAAGCACAAGGTCCTGAGCTCAATTCCTGGTACCCTCACCCCAAAATGATTAGGCCAAGGAACACACCATCAAGTAGAAGCCACCTTGGCCTGCAGGACACAGAGAATCAAAGAACAAAGACCCCTCAATAACCCACTGTGAGGACTCCGGGCTTCCCAATTCTGTCCTATAGTCATGGTTGCTTATGCTCATTCATACATCCACCCACACAATATTTATTGACACCTACTGCATGCCTGCAATTCCAAATACTAGGAATGCAGAGAAGAACAACCGAGCTAAGGTTCTTTCTTCATACAGCTTATATTTTAGAAGGAGACAGATGATAAATAAGGAAGGAAGATCATTTCTGATGATAAGTGCTATGAAGAAAACTAAGCAGCCTTTGGGACAGGAAGTTACTGTGGGAGTGAGAAAGCAACTCGAACTCAGAGAACCAGGAAGACAGGTGCAATATTCAGTGTGATAACCAAAACGATCTGGAGGAAGGATGGTCTTGGTATGGGTGGTAGTACATGGAGAGTCTTAGTGATGAGAAACAGTTTGGCATATTTGAGAAACAGAAAGAACATCGATGTTGGAAAATAACAGATGAAATGGAAGTGGGAAGAGATGAGGTAGGTAGGTTATGAGGGTCTTACAGGCTATGATGGAGCACTTGGATTTTATTCCACGATCAATGAGAAAGCATTGATTAGATTCAAGCATGATCTACATGATTTAAGTTTCTTGAAGACAGGCACCATGCCCTTGACATGCCAGTGCCTTTCACTGGGTTGATGCCAAATAACAGCAACAGTAATAGTTGCTTTTATCCAGCATTTACACATGGTGGGCCAGACACTTCTCAGTATTCTCTTGATACTCACAACCAGCCAATCCTCCAGGTTCTGTTTCATCACCAGTTGTTGTCCTTTAGCTCCAAGTAAGAGTTCCAAAAGTCACATGGCAGCCAAGGTCACTAGTTATCATTGGGACCAGAATTAGAATCCAGGCAATCTGGGTACTCTAGGTCCAAAAGGAGGAGGGTTAGAAGATTTATTGAGTACCTGAGAAGTTCAGAGTAACAAGAAGGACATCTGGGTAGTGTAAGGAAAAGACCAGCTGCTCAAGCACTGCTGGGAAAGGGAAGGAGCCAGAAGACCGGGACCTGGGTGGGAATCATTCCTATCCCTGAATATGGTGGGACAATCTTGGAGGACTTGCTACGTGAGGCTGCTGACCTCCCAGGATCTTAGCCACCTGCCAGTCTAGTTTTCCTCCAGTGCACCCAGCGCCTAGAACTCTTCCTGAGCATATCTGAATCGCTTTAAATACCTGTTTGTGAAAGAGAGGGCAGAAATGAGAGTAACGGTATATGGGAAAGCCTCCTTCTGCCTTCAACAAAGACAACTGTCCAGTTTTCACGGAAGTTAGAGGGAACCCAAGGTAAAGAGAAAAAAAGGGCCAGGGAGATAGCTCAGTAGAATAAGCACTTGCCTGGCAAGCACAGGGTCCTGAGTTCAATCTCCAGTACTGCAAAAAAAGAGAAAAAAAATTTTAAAGGGCCGGGGAGCTCCAGTAGAGTAAGCACTTGCCTGGCAAGTGTGGGGTCCTAAATTCAATCCCCGGTACTGCAATAAATAAATAAATAAATAAATAAATAAATAAA